TTTGATGTATGACAATTTAGGTATCTGCTTTCCCGACACCTGAGATCACATACAGGCTCCACTCCATTTACTTGTGACCAATGCGGGAGCCAGTTTGCAACAAGAGAAAGGTAAGAAACTATGATTGGTATCTTCGGCATTTTCGTGGTCAAACTTGATGAACTGCTTCATTGCTTACCACCCATATGGTCTAGAGATTGTTATCCGATTCAAATGCCCTCAAGGCAAATAAGGCTGCCATCCCTCCAGGGAAGCATAGCTGCTATTGGACTTGACAGGAAATAAAACCTGACCCTGGAAGTCCAAATCGCATTTTAAATGCGCTAAATGATTTCGAATAAAGGTAGAGTGCGTGGCCCATCCGAATGAGTGTTTGATCAACGCTGGTTGCTTTACCTTTTGTCCTAGCTTTTCGTGAAATCGATCTTTTTTTTTCAAAATCATTACCGAGGTGATTTCATATGTCATCCAACTTATTACAAAGGTTATTAAAGCCAACGTTTTAGGATGCGGCTACATGTACGAGCAATACACATGCCAGAAGTTAAATATATGTGTGAAGTGTGCGATCGCCTGTTTAAGACGACTTCGGAGAGGCGACATCACATGACGCGAATGCATATGAGTAAGTATTCATCATCAAAGAGAGTGGAGTGTTGATATTTATTTCATCGATTTTCAGAGGAACGTTTGGTGTGCCGACACTGTGGAGGACTGTATTCGGGTAGATCTGTCCTCAGTCGTCATATGAAAGTTTGTAAGCAGAAATAAAGATGTGGGCTTCTGTATCCTCAGTGTCTACTCTCCGTTAACAGACGGAAGAATCGTTATCCGTCAGCAAAGTCACACTTGATGAATCGAATTGGTTCCACTTTCAAACTCATCAGATCTCTACGTTTGCCGCCGTTATAGTTGTTAGCCAAGAATGACGAAAAACCCGTCAATGCAGGATTTTTGATCTACCAATACCCATAATTTCTCTTCTTTGTTAAGAGGTGGGTCTAGCTTGTTTCTGATATTTTTATTTGGAGAAGAAACTAATGAATACCCCAGATGGAAAATATGTCAAGAAGCTGAGGCCTGATCAAAAACCACTCTCAAAAACTATTTTTCACCGAAACACTTCTTGTAAAAATTAACATATGCGATATTAGCCCTTATATCTCCAAAGAAGTGGACATACGTGCATGCGTAATATAGAGGAGTTTACTTTGCCTTGAAGCGGTACGTGCTCGTATACGCTTTCGATATGTTCCATTACCTTCTTGTTGTATTGAGTTTAGGAAGCATTCATAGCTTACGATTGAGCGATTA